TCCCTTCCATGTTTCTCCTTCAAATATTAACCTGGAATACAGACAAGGTAGCAAGTCATCTACTTGCTTTCAGGAAGTATAAAACCATTCCATTATTGTCTTTTTATCTCACCCCAAATCCTCTAGGTCATAATTTCCTCATCTGTAGAAGTAGAATAATTGTGCCTTTTTTTAAAATCAGGAAACTTCGCTAGCAAGTCATCATTGAAGTACATCAATCTCCTTCTCTTCCTTCTTTCTGTCACCTATCAAATATTATTGACTGTTTGATATAAGCCAGACTCAGTACTTTGCACATTGGCATTTGTTGTCCTATATAAAAAGATAATATATCTTAGTTTGTATGGGTTTATAAAAATAATATAGTCACAACAGAAAATTTGAAACATAGACAATACTATGAATAAGAATTGACATAACCACATCCAGAAAGAGAAGCTGTCATCCTTTTGATGTATTGCTTTCTAGTTTTTTCATATGTACATGTGTTTTTCATAGCTGAAATAACTTACATACAATTTTTTTTTGGTATTGTTAATGTACAATTACTTGAGCAACATTATGGTTACTAGATTCCCCCCATTATCAAGTCCACCCCACATACCCCATTACAGTCATTGTCCATCAGCGTAGTAAGATGCTATAGAATCATTGTCTTCTCTGTATATACTGCCTTTCCTGTGTCCACCCCCCACTACATTATGTGTGCTAATCGTAATGCCCCTTTTTCCCTCTTATCCCTCCCTTCTCACTCATCCTCCCCAGTCCCTTTCCCTTTGGTAACTGTTAGGCCATCCTTGGGTTCTGTGTCTGCTGCTGTTTTGTTCCTTCAGTTTTTGCTTTGTTCTTATACTCCACACATGAGTGAAATCATTTGATACATGTCTTTTCCCACCTGGCTTATTTCACTGAGCATAACACCCCCTAGCTCCATCCATGTTGTTGCAAATGGTAGGATTTGCTTTCTTCTTAAAGCTGAATAATATTCCATTGTGTATATGTACCACATCTTCTTTATCCATTCATCTACTGATGGACACTTAGGTTGCTTCCATTTCTTGTCTATTGCAAATAGTGCTGCAAGAAATATGGGGGTGCATATGTCTTTTTCAAACTGGGCTCCTGCATCCTTATGGTAAATTCAATTTACATACAATTTTGTAATGTTCTTTTCCTTGACTTAACAATATATTTAGGTATTTTCTTGCAGTCATGAAAATGTCCGCATTTTTAACAGCTCATGTTTAGTAAACTTTAAATAGTTTATTTAAACTTCCCCCTAATTTTGGATGTTTTGGTTGTGTCTAATATTCTGACATTATAAAAAAGAGGGCTGTGTATGTCTTTATGCACACATCTCTGTGCTTATTTCTGGTTATTTTCACAGAATCCCTAGTTATAGGATTATAGGGTCAAAATATATGAACATTTTGAAGTCTCTGGAAATATTTCACAAAATTGCTTTCCTGTGAAGTTGTATCAATTCATGCTTCTACTAATAATGTATAAAATTGTCCATTTAATTGAACTTGTGCCAGTATTGAATATTAGAGTTTAAGAAAATATTTTCCAAGTTAATAGGTATAAATATTACATACTATTTTAAGTTTTTTATTTTTTTAATTACTAGGTAATCCAAACACTTTAAAATATAATTATACACACACAAACTCAGAGCTAATCACTAATCATTTTTAGATTTCTCTTTAAGGAAATTTTCCCATTGACTTAGTTTTCCTATCAATTCGGTGTACTCTTGCATTGAGAATAAAATTAAATGTCAGCTTTGTTATGCATAGTTTTGCAGGGTTTTTCTTTTCAAATTTTGTTCACTGTATTTTTAGTTGTCAGAACTTAAAATTTTTATGTAATCTAATCTAACAGTCATTTCCTTTACAATTTTTTCATTTGTTTTCTTCCCCCATCTTGAATTCATATAAACATTTGCTAAATTTTATCCTATTTTTAAAATTATTTAATGTAGCAAATTTGCTTTAGCACATAATAAAAGGTAAAAGTTTAACTTGATTATTGTTTCAAATTACTGGTTTTCTCAAGCCCATTTGTTGACAGTCCATCCCTTTTTCATTTATTTTAGGTTATTTTTATCACATATTAAACTCTACACTATATCAACACTATCTTTTTCTGGGACATTGATTCCATTCTATTATCTATACCATTCAACATCTATTATTGTTTCATTATGATACTTTGAATTATTAGAGCTCTACACTATGTCTCAGTAATAAACAGGGAAATTTACCATATTTGTCTTCTTTTTCATGATTTTCCTCTTTTCATTTGTTCAGGTAAACATTAAAATAATTTTGTTTAGCCTCACAGGATAGGTGCTAACAACCTCATTGCACAGATGAGAAACTGAATCTCAAAAAGGATAAACAGCTCAAAGTTACACATCTCCTAAGTGGAAGAGGCATAAAGCAAAATAATTTCTTTTGATATCACCCTTCTCAGCTCTAGAATGCTATTAAGTGTTAGTGAAGAAAACATGAAAATCGTTTACTAACCACTTTCACCTTTCCTGTGATCCTCTCTCTAGTGGCCACCATAGATACTGCATTTTATTAAGTCAATTTCATACAGTAATTTTTTTTGTAAAATAAAAACATGTTTAAACTTTTAAGCTTACTTTAAAAGTTTTAATTTACACAAAGCTCATAATAATAATTGTCTAAAATGTGGGGGCCATGTATTACCAACATTTTCTTAACAAAGTGCAGCCTCAAGACATTTATTAGGAAGTCAACTATAAAGTAAAATTTTGTAAATTCCATGGGAGTTAAAGTAGTAACAACAGTATATGCAAAGACCCTCTAGATGTTTATCTCTCTTCTCCCTTATCATGCTCTAAGTACTTTCATGAATAACTATCCTTAAATTCCCCTTCTAAGCCATTTCTTGTTTTCTTACCTCACTTCTGGTCCTTTCTGTGCCTCTTAACTTCTTTGTGTGTGCTCACTTGGCACAAAGGTGCCTAGATAGGTGCAGTGGAAGCCAGCCTGGACTCAGGCAGCCATGCTGGGGCCCTGGTTAGGTCTGCAGAAGCTCAGAGGAAGGGGCCCCTGTTTGAAATTCCCACAAATACCTGATATATGCTAGTGGGGCTGGCCTTCCCTTCCCTACTGTCTCTTGGTTGAAACCTATGTTGTTTTCTTCCCTGTAATTTCCTGCTCCCCCTTTTTTTGTCTTTTTCTTTCCCTTCTTCCTTCTTAATCCCACCATCATTCAGTTTCTTCTTCTTTTTTTTAATCTCTTGTTACTTTTGTAAGAAAAGATACTGTGATTGATCTGCGTGATGGTCACACAAGTGTACACATGTCAAAATTCATTGAGCTGTACACTAAGATTTGTGATTTTTATTGCATGTATCTCAATTCTGAAAAGGAGAAAAAAGAAAAAATACTGTGTAAAATTAAATTTTTACACAAAAGATAATGTGTAAGTTAAAAATTTTAAGTAAGCTTTAGAAGTTAAGCTCAACATATGTCCATACATCATAAAAGCTTGATCAACCAAAAAGAACTATAATAAAAAGAAAAACAGTTCTGGGAAGCACTTAACAAAATGTCCGTTTCTTCATCTGAATTCCTTAAAGACAGAGGGATTCCCTATATTACCTCTCACCAGGGAGTTTTTAGTATTACTTAAGTTTTACCAAGCCAGTTAGTGATAAATGCATTCATTTATCACATAATTAACACAATAAAGAACACAATTTAAGAGGAAAAATATATATATAAACAGAGCTTAGGCCCATTGTGCATCAAGGATCAGGGATGAACAGAATTGATTCTTCCCCGGATTTGGTTATGAAAGAAAGGGGTACTAATATTTGCCTAATTAACAAATGTGTTGGGTGGATTAAAGTGCTTTGTAAACATTAAATAAAGATGCGGGGAGTTAGACAAGGCCAAAGTATTATTAGTGAGGTTTTCTTCCCTTTCATCAGGCATCTCTTCCTGGGGAGAGCAAAGAAGTGATGTAAGGACTAAGGAATCGCCACCCAGCCCTGACAGCTACCAGGGTCTCAGGCATTCTGTGCAACCAACCACTTCCTTTGCCTTCTGTAAAATGGGAATAACCACAAACAGCATTTTGGAATATTGGTTTTACAAAGTCTGCTGTTTGAATATGTAACAGACTCTGTAATAAATAAAAGCCCTTAACTCTTGCTTTCTCCCTCCTTAGAGCTGCCCCACACTGTGGAAACACTAGTAGCATGAACTCTCACCGACTTACCAGGGCCTTCCACAACCAGCTATTAACTTCGGCCGGTATTTCCACAGTGATAAAGAAGAAAATAGCGCCAAACCATGGGGTCAAAAAAACCCTAGGAGGCGTTACTTTGCCTCTTTGAACCTCAGTTTTTCTTCTCTATAAAATGAGGATTAGAAATCAGAGGATTGTTCTAAGGATGAAATGAGATCATGTGTTAACTATGATACGATATGTTAAATGCGTCCGAAGGTAGTTAAGTGTCCGACACATGGTAGTTATCAGTACTGTCATTAAATATACAACAATCTCTCTACCCTGACGACGGAGGCGGGGAAAGTGTTTTCTCATTCCGAGCTTCACACGCAGATCCCTACTGCGCTTCCCCGCGCGTGGAAATAGGAGACGGCAGGATTAGGTTTCACTGGACTGTCCCCAGTTCAAACCCCAAGCCCGACAGCCGACCCTGCGAGGGAAGCCTGTCCCTTTAAATGCCCGGTCGCGCGGCGCCTGTTCGGCGGGGCGGGGAGCGCGCGGGGCGGGGAGCTCGCAGGGGCGGGGAGCGCGCGGGGCGGGGAGCGCGCGGGGCGGGGAGCGCGCGGGGCGGGGAGCGCGCGGGGCGGGGAGCGCGCGGGGCGGGGAGCCCGCAGGGGCGGGGAGCGCGCGGGGCGGGGAGAGCGCGCGGGGCGGGGAGCTCGCAGGGGCGGGGAGCGCGCGGGGCGGGGAGAGCGCGCGGGGCGGGGAGCTCGCAGGGGCGGGGAGCGAGCGCGCGGCCGGGCGGCTTCGGACCTTCGACTGGACGCGCGCTGCCGGCGGGCGGGCGAGCTGGCGGCTCCCGGGCTCCGCTTCGCTGCCCCAGCCGGCACCTGCGGTCCCCGGAGAGGGGGGCCCTGCCAGGTGAGTGCGGAATCTCCCGGCTAGAGCACGGGAGGCGCTGGGGCAGCTGGTCCCCTCGCCTGGCTCGTCGGTGAGGGCGGTGTTTGAGTCTAGAGAGGGAGGCTTGGGCTCGGGGGGTCCAGATAGATCAGGGTGATCCCTTTTCTTGCGACTTGGCTGTCTGCAGTTCCCACGCCGCCAGCCTGTGCGCTGCTCGCCTGCATCCCTCCTTGCGCGATCCCCTTCTCCTGCCGGCACTCCTGGAAGTTAGGAAAGCCTGGCACAATCCGAAGGAAGGGGTGCACCCGGGAGCCTCCTGAGAGGGCATCCGGTGCCTTCCGGCTCCGATGTGTTCTTCTTGCGGGGCACGCGGTGGTCCGTGGCAAGGGTTTGGCTTTGGGCGCGAGTGGTCCTGGTGGTCCCCAGCACCGCTCCCCTGTCTCCACCACCCTTCCCCGGGATCGTGCGAGGGACTTGCCGGGTCCCTGGCTCTCCAGGGAGCTTTGTGCCTTAGGCTGCGGAGAGGGTGGGAGCCTAATGTTGGCAGGAGGTGGCCAAAGCCACCTGTTAAACCTGGGTCCTGTGCAAAGTGACCAGTAGATTTTCGTCCCCACCCCCGACCCCCAACAGGTAACTGAATCATGTGGGTATGTGTAGGATACGCCTGTGAAGCTGGGCGGAAGGGATTTAAAAAAGGAAAGAAAATTTGGCCGATGTGATGCAGTTCAACAAAAGGCAATAAAATAAATTCCAGTATTTCTCCAAGGCTTTGAAATTTTCCCAGTATTGTTTTACGGAGTCTAAATTTAAGCATCTAGTCCCCCCCCCCCTTTTTTTTAAATCGCAGGAATTAACCTCAGAAAACTTTTAACTCTTTGCCAGGACCTAGTTGGTGCCGAGCAGAAAACTTAGAGTGAGTTAAGGAAAATGATTTTTTGTGTGTCATTTTTTGTCCCTAAAAAGAATGAAATGTTCTTTTACAGGAGCCTGTAGGAAGAAAGTTCTTCTGGCTCCAGTTTTAATGGAGAACAATTTTTTTTAAATCTATATTTCTGAAAGGTACAGAAACACCAAACTAGGTAGTGTAAACTTTAAGAAAATGCTCACAGGAGAAATGTTTTTAAAGGTAGTTTCTTACTTTTTTTTAAAGCACTATATACTTAGTGCTCCAGCATGACTGAAAAGTTTGCCCTCAAAGTTCCAAGTCTGAATGTTACAGATTGTTTTTCTAGGTGGAGGAGGTATTTTCCTTCATGAGGCCAATGTGGAAATACAAACAAATGCCCTATTTACTTGGGATTGGGTGGGAAGGATGGAAGTTGTCTAAGATCTCTTTTGCCAAACTTGACAGTGTATGTATGGAATCTTGTGTATTTTCTCTCGCAGACCAGTAATAGTCATTTTTAAATGACTAGATATATTCCTTGGTAACAGCATTTCAAATGAGCTTTTCTTTAAAATTTTAGATGCTGATAATATAAAAGGAACACATTTTCTCCATCACTAGAAACCAGGAAGCTAAAATTAGAGTAATATTGGCTAGTAATAATTTAGAGATAGTTGGAAGGAGGAGAGGTGCATTTTGAAAATGTGAGTGTGTTGGACTCCACAGTGTTCCCCTTAGTGGCAGGGGATTTGCCTGTTCTAATGCAGGCCCACGTGTTCATTCATTCATTCAGTGATATTTGTAGACTGTTTCACCAACTACAGTGTGCTGAGCGCTGAGCTAGTCTTTGGACATACAAATATATCTAGGTAACAGCTCTATCACCCAAACTGATTAAGATCAGATCAAGTAAGCCTTCATCAGGAGCTGAAGCTACACCTGGTCATGGTTCCAAAGTTCTCAGACACCTAAGGAGCCTATGGTTGGCACCCTGTGTTGATTCTAAAGATCATCTCAAATAACTGAAGAGGTAGAGTCGAGTCTTAGAGCCAGAGGGAGAAGTAAATGGCTTGAGTGGAGTAAAGCTGAGAAAAGGGGATCCCCTGAAGCAAAAAGCTCAAGTGCATCTTATCTCCAAGGCTGTGTGGCATGGAGGCCATTTGGGGTAGGTGCCAGGGAATCCTAGGAGCATCCCAGAACTAGAGCTGTCTGTTTCCTTGCTGGTGAAGGGCAGCTTTTCATTTCAGTTTCCATTGCCCTTTCTGCTGGTGGTGCTCATGGCTGCATAGTTGCCTGTGTGTTCCCAGGAGGATGGCTCTTCAACTCTGCTCTGACACATGGCAGTGTACCCCTCTCAATTCTGAGTGAGTTGGCTGTTCCTGTAGAAAAGCCTCTGTTCCCATCTACACAGTAGGGTCAACACAGTGGAGTAACTGGCAATAGCCTCTATCTGTGGAAAGCCACTACAAAACCTGCACCTCTCAGTGATGCCCCTTGACCCCCTTCTGGATGTGCAGCGTTAATCTTGAAACCTATTTTAAGAATGTAGGTGCTGGATTTGTAATCGGTGCAGTCAGGATTAGTGGTAAAGGTATGTGTCGGACAGAACATTCTGCCTCATCAGAGAGGGATGTGATAGCTCTTCAGAGATGAATATCTTAAGGCTGGTTATTTCCAAAGACCCTAGCACTGTGAAGACTTGCTTCTCTTTATTTTTTTTTATTATAGTAAAAAAATATAAAGAAACTGGGGAGGATGGGTGGGAAGGGAGAGAGAAGTGGGGGGAGAAGAAAGGGGGCCTTACGATTAGCATGTATAATGTGGGGGGGCATGGGAGGGCTGTGCAACACAGAGAAGACAAGTAGTGATTTTGCAGCATCTTACTACGCTGATGGACAGTGACTAATGGGGTATGTGGGGGGGACTTGGTGAAGGGGGGAGCCTAGTAAACATAATGTTCCTCATGTAATTGTAGATTAATGATACCAAATATATATATATATGTGACTGACACACAATTCTTTCAAGAAAAAAAAATATGTATATATATATATAATTGGCTTTATCATTTTAAAGCATATAAATTAGTGGCATTAAGTACATTCACGTAACATGTGTTTGAGAAGAATCTTTAAAAAATTTTTCCAGATATCTATTAAATGAACCTATGACTACAATATTCCTCACTAACTAACTGTCTACTTAACATGTCAGTAATTGGGAAAGATACAGGTGGTCCCTGATTTACAATGTTTCGACTTAAGATATTTCAATTTTTTGACTCTACAATGGTGCAAATGTGATACGCATTCAGTTTCAAATCTGGTTCTGTTTCCAGGCTAGTGGTGTGCAGTCTGGTCCTCTCGTGACACTGGGCAGGGCAGCACAGCGAGCCACAGCTCCCAGGCATTTGCACGATCACAGGGTCAACAGCTGATACACTGACAACCGTCTGTACCCACACAAACATTCTGTTTTTTACTTTCAGCACAGTGTTCAGTAAATTACATGAGATATTCAACACTTTGTGGCAAATAGGCTTTGGGTTAGATGATTTTGCCCAAATGTAGGCTCATGTAACTGCTCTGAGCATGTTGAAGGTAGGCGACACTACGCTATGGTGTGCGTAGGTAAGGTGTATTAAATACATTTGCAGCTTAAGATGTCTTCAACACATGATGGGTTTATCAGGACAAAACCCCATTATAAGTTGAGGAAGATGTGTATATTGAAAGATCCCACTATAATGGGGGATTTGTAAAAATCGGCTTGTATTTTGGGCTAAAAAATACTCTGAGACTATTTATGCATACTTTATATTTTAATATCTACCAGTACTGTAAGTTTATCTTGTTAGACATACAATGTCTGTTTCGTGTGTTGTGGTATAACCAGAGTGATCTCTTTGTTGTTGATGTTGTAAATATTTGTTCAGTGTATCTTTCCCCATCCTTTTCATTTTCCTTTAAATATATTTAGTGAGATATAATTGATTTTCAATAAGCTGCACATATTTAAAGTGTAAAAATGTGCATTCACGATTTTGGGCAACCACCACCTCTGTCTAGTTCCAGAGCTTTTTTGTCCCCAAAAGGAAACTCCAGAAGCAGTCTGCCCTTTGCGCCAACTTCAACCCCAGGCAACCACTAATCTGCTTTCTGTCTCTGTGGATTTCCTGTTCTGGATATGGCATATAAATGGAATCATACAACATGTGGCCTTTAGTGTCTGGCTTCTTTCACTTAAGGATGCTTTCAAGATTCATCCATGTTGTAGCGTGTGTCAGTACTTGATTACTTGATTACTTCCTGTGGCTGAAGAAGCTCTCACTGTATGGATGTGCCACAGTGTGTTGATCCATTCTTCAGTTCCTGGACATTTGGTTTGTTTCCACCTTCTGGCTACTGTGAATAGTGCCCCTATAAACATTTGTGTACAAGTTATTGTTTTCAGCACTTGTTTTTTATTCTTTAGGGTATCTAAGAGTAGAAATCCTGAGTGATATAGTAATTCTGTGTTTAACCTATTGAAGAATCACCAAACAATTTTCCACAGGAGTGGCACCATTTTACATTCCCACCAACACTGTATGAGGGTTCCAGTTTCTCTGTGTCCTCACTGACCCTTGTTATTTTCCATGTTGTTTTTTTTAACTGCCATCCATGTGGGCTTGAGGTGGTACCTCATTGTGGTTTGATTTGCATTCCCCTCATGACTGACTAATAACATTGAGCATCTTTTCATGTGCTTTAAGCCACTTGTAATTCTTTGAAGAAATGTCTGTTCAGGGACTTGATTAGTGTTTTGTATTAGCTGTTATATCACCATGTAAGTGATATAAGTAAGTGTAGTTGTTTTTATAGGGCTTGGCTTGTAAATTATGTTCCTTTTCAAACCTTCATTCTGTTGTTTTGGGTTTTGCTTTGTTTTTTGTGTTTCTGTTTTCTCTTTCATGCTTCTTCAGCTCCTCCTAGGTTTCTAGTTGTCTGACTGGTGCTTTGAAACATTTAATATTCTGCCTCTTTTAGTTATGGATCCAAAGGCCTGGGTGTTCCTCTAGTCATTCAGCAACATTTGTAGACTGTTGGTCACCTACAGTGTGCTGAGCACTGAACCAGCCTTTGGGTCTACAAAT